CCCCAAAACCCCAAAACCCCAAAACCCCTCAAATACAATACTGTTAATTAAAAAGTTAGAGTGAATTAAACAAATATAAAGGAGATATCATTTCAATTAGATTAGTATTTATCATTAAGTAAATCTAATTTAGTTAATTAGATTTTTAATCTCACAGTAGCTTCCAATACTTAAAATCAATAAAGCCAACTAATAGAGGAGATTCAATAGTTTCTTCTAATGCTCCATGCGTTACTGCCACATAGAAAGGTCTATCTATTATGAAAGCCTCTTCTAATTTCTCTTAGTTTCTTATTTCGATATCGGGGGTTCCTGCACTAATTGGAGGAGCATAAAGCTCTAGGTTAAATTATTCATAGCATTCATTAATATACTGCTTTCCATTTCCATCATCACAAACTACAAGACCCTCGAAATTTTGATTTCTCTAGGGAGCAATTTGAGTTATTTTGAATTAAGGAATCCATATATTTTTAATCTTTTGCAAGTCATCATCTTTTGCTTGTATGTTCTAATATGATAATACTATTGAAATTTAGTAAACTTACGTTTAATGAGTTCTTGATTTTCTAATGCATATTGTCATGGTTAATGTCTGCATCATGGTTCTCGATCAAAATGACCATGTTAATGTTTTCCTCGGTATTACTTATGATAATGATATGCTCAAAATCTGAACTTTAAGCAAATGTCATTGGATTTCTCTTGATTCTCATATATTTATAATTCCTATCATTCACTTCAAGATAGCAGGGATCAATCGAGCCAAATCTAGCTTCAACTGTACACTGAGATCCAACTACCTAATAACATTAACTTTAGCTATCAAGCTCTTACCTTAGAAAAAGTTTACCCAGAATCAGTTACTCTTAAAATGTTACTTTAATGAATAGCGTTTAGGTTTTCAGCTACTAAGAAGTTTGTCTCTGGCAGTACAAATCCATTTCTTAAATTCTCAGCTTTTTCGAGAGCAGCTCTAGCATCCTAAACTATATTTGTATTGATTAATTATTCAATTTTAGCCATTTTATCAGTCTTATTAGCATAAATTGCAGTTTTGTATTGAATAAGATTATTTAAGACTCCACAGATGCTCTGAACATCTTTACCATGAGTCAACTTTCCAGATTATTGTAAGTTTTCATTGATTCCAATCAGAGATTAAATCCTGAATTAGAAAGGTTCTTTCATTAAATCTTCCTTTTATAGACCCTATCTATATAGAACGCAAGTATCAGGTGAAATTTAAGATTTTAATTTAGTATTAATGCATTCCATTACTTCAACTCTTTAACCACTCTTCACATCATTCGTAACGGTTTTCCATTTAAATCCTTTTGACTTCAGAAGGTTTTTAATATCTGAGTTTACTTACAAAACCCCATTTTCATGCTCATAATGATAGATACTAATTCTTATAACTGCACAATGCATATTTTTCCATATATAATCAATAGCCAAGTCAATAGATTCTTCAAATTTATCTTTATCTACAGAAGAGATATGGTACAGATTAACCTTTAGCTATTTCTAAGTTTATTTTTGAAGCATATTATCAACATTGAAAGCTAAAAGACCACTGATCGTTTAAGACTTCTCAGATGATTTTAAAACTAAATAGTGAGGATCATATCCAGACATCATAGAATCTATCAATAAATTTATTGGAGCAAAGGAGTTTTTGATACTCTTATCTAAGCTATCATAGTATTTACTAATCTCATCATTAAGATCATCTTCATGAATGTTTAAGCCAAATATTGCTAACGGTCCTTCTTCTATTGTTTCTTCATACTCTAAACTTTATTAAGCTATATCCCTCTATTCAAGTGATATAGTATTCTCTTGTACTGCTTATGCTGTTGGTTATTGGGATGATATCCCATGAGCATGGGGACTCTAGAAAAAATCTATTTGCTGTGAAATAGGAGTAATCTATTCTTAATCTTCATGATACTGTAAAATATTTTAGCTCTTTTGGTTCACTGTGTATTAACTTGGCTAATGATGATCCATGTCATTATGATAAGTTTTTATGTCAATTATGTCTGGCTTGACTTGCCTATCTTGGTTATATCTCTACTGAGATATCTAAGCCTTAATCTCATTTCTTTGAGGCTATTAAATCATATTTAGGATATCTGATGCATTTTCCTTTTCAAATTCACTAAAGTTTATACCTGCAGATGCAATGTATTGCTACTCTTCCTAATAGTTTTGCTGTTGCTTATCGTTATACTGATAAACGTTATTGGACTGAGATGAAGATTTTAAAATTTAATCTGTAACTGCTTCTTCCATTAAATAGACTTCACTTTATCTAATCCATTTCATCATTGAATTAGCTAAGGGCACAATTAGTTTATTAACAGGCAATCCATTTTTGTCTTTTTTCATGTTAACGCTTGCTGGAGCTTGGCCTTAATTTCCAGAGGAGTTTTATTTTTTGAGACTCTTTAAACCCTACGCTCCACCTCCTACTGCATTGACGTTATGTTTTTACGAAGGAAATACTAAGAAAGGATCACTCTTTGTTGAAAAATTGAAGTGCTTCCCATACTCACTTGTTATTAAAAATTAAGCATCATTTTTCATCTTTAATAGATAGTTCTCTCCTTCCCATATAAAAGGAATGCTTTTGAACTTATTAACACTATTTCTTTCTTAATGCATACTGTTTTAGTTGTGAGAAGATGCTAATAAAAATGAGTATATCAATTACTTTCTCCATTCAATGATGCATTTAACTACATGCAAACTCAGCATTCTCAAAGAATGCAGAATTTTTACACATTCATCCATCAAGGCTTAGTTAGGAGTCTACAATCTCTCAGCCTCTTCTAAGACTTTATCAAGCTCTTTAATCTATTGAAGACAGCTCTCTCTACCAATAATAGCTCTAATAGTATTTTGAATTGGAGCCTACTCTTGTTATAGATCTTAAATTTCTTTGGCAATAATAGGAAGATACTGATTTGAGGTGAGTCCATAGATAGAATCTAGAAATACTGTTCTATGATAGTCAGGAATGATATACGAATCCCATGTTTATAATAGCTCTTCTTTTAGGTAGTTTATTACGTCACCTGATATAGCATTTTACTAATATGCTCCGGGTCCACCAGAATTCATGCCCAAGCTACCAGGTCTTTAATTGACCTTCCTTGAAACTGCTCTTTTCTATTGGCCTCCATTAGAACCAGCTGCAACACCTCCACCAACATTGATGCTTTTCTTGTTGATGTTCTAAATTTGGAAACCTTTTCTTATTCTAGGAATGTGAGAAGCAGAAACTTGATACCTAAAAATAATTAGTTAATATAGATGAATTATGAAAGAATTGAGGATATTACTATTAATTTGACTGATTGTACTACTAAGGAAACTATGAGACATTATTTGATTGATCGTTGACAAACATTTGAGGATGCTGCATAGATTCATTTGATCTAACTGATTCAGGAATTAAATGCTACTATTTTGGTATATTATTTCTGATAACTGAGCCTTTTTTAGCTCTGATACCACCTGGCTCCAAGGCAACCGAATTTTTGCTTGAAATTTTTGAATTCTATCGAATATGAGTGTTTTGTCCAATCCCACCAGTACTTATGTTATAATTTTCGTTAGTATATCTGTTATCCCATTCTTACTACAAATTAATATAAATTAGATGTGGGAAATTATACTCTTCTAGCTTAATTTTAAAATTCCATCGAAGGTCCTTTGCTGTTTGGTCTAAGTTTTTGAATTTGCTGCATTTCTACAAAAGAAAAGACTTATAGAGACATCAATAACTTACATTTTTATAAATTGAAATTCTTCTTCTTAAATTCAAATTTTAATTATAATCTCATTTTATTGTTATCTAACTCTATATTATCATCCTTGGGGTTTTGGGGTTTTGGGG